CTGATCAGCTTTTAACATGAGTCAGGTGTGCTGTAGCAAGAACCATTAGGCTCTGAAATGCCTTTAAACACGCACACTACCTGTTTCTCTCCTGCCGTGCCATCTTTGTTTCTTTTTGATGCAGGAATTTTTACTAGCATGTATTGGGCTTGTTCCCTTGTAGAAGGAACAACGTTACGTGTAGTTTTCACAGAGAACTTCCGTCATGATTTCTTTATGATTTTAATCCTAAATATCAGGAGTGCTGCAAGAAAGGGCCCTGCCAGTGCCAGTAAGTTCCAACTCAGCTCTGCATGACGGACCCCATGTGGAGGGAAGCGTAAAGGATGGCAGTTCAGAATCCTCTCTTGCCAGCTTGACGTATCCTGATAGGGATGAGTGTGCTCTGTCTTTCTAAGGTGTTCCCTTCTGTTTCAGAGGAGAAGGGCTGCAGGGTGATATTTCTCTTGTGGCTTGCAGATGTGCTCCTTGGCACAGACCTCTCTCGGCCTTCAGCATAGTTACCTTGTGCCAGACTATTTTGCAGACGGTGGCTGTCCCAGATTCAGCCTTCTATTTCTCTAGTCTAACAAATACTTTACTTGGAGGAGGAAAGAGAGAATGTAGTTTAATGAGAATAACATTTGAGTGCTAACGCAGCGAGGTGAATGAGGTGTTGCCACAGGGGCAACTTGGTGCTGCTGAAGCACTGCCCAGCGACCAGGTCGGAGGTAACACCTGCTGGCAGATGAGGATAATGCTTTGGGACCGAGGTGAGGAGAGAATAAAACACCATGACTGAGCTGCCTGCAAAGAGCTGCTGGGGGAAGTTTGGTGCCAACTCTCAATTTGATGTGGTAACCTCCTGTGCACGTTCTACGTTTATTCCACCCTCCATCTCTCCCACAGCCAGACACGGGGCTCTGGGCAGCGGACGTTTCTGTTGCTGGGGGTCCTGCTGCCACCTCGAGGTGTGGAGCCAAACTGCCACCTGCTGTGTGAAACAGGAGGAAAAACCGCGATTCTGAACCTGCAGCACCTCGAAGTCCCTTCAAGAGCCCCCAGCTACTGCCCTGAGCCCCCCAGTTTTCCCTTCTGCCCCTTAAAAACCTCAGGAGTGCCAGCAGCACCTCGTGCCTTAGGATGCCCACTGGATTTCATGAGGATGCACTCATCTCCTGCACCGTGATCACTGGCAAAAATATCCAACGGCGCTGAGCCGAGCTGGGGGCTCAGTGGTGACGTACAGGGAAACCTGCTGTGCTGCAGTGTGAGCCTCCGGTCCTGTGCTGGGCACTGCTGGGCGCAGCCTGGCTCCCTGCTCTCCGCACCTCCCTGCAGGGACTGATGGCCGTGCCCGGGATCCCCCCGCGCCTTTCTGCAGGCTGAGCCGCCCCAGCTCTGCCAGAATCCCACCCCAACATTTCCCACGCGGTGCTGAGGAGGGGAGGGGAAGCAGTGAGTTAGGGGATGAAGGGTAAACATGGCCCGGCTGTAAAGGAAGCCAAGAATGTAACAAGCAGGATGAGATAATAAGCTGAGGAATGCAAGATGTAAGGGTCCGTAACATTGCCTGGTTTTGCTAACTCAAAAGAAATTCGCAAATAGCATCGCTTAATTTAACCTCTTGCTAGCTCAAGGGGAACTTATTGCTTAACCTTTTGCTAGCCCAGACACATTCTCAAAAGGGAGCCGTCTCCAGTCAGCAGGAAAGGGCCCCTAAGAAAGCAAGGGGGAGGAAAGATAGGCAGAATTAGAAATTGCTGAGGTACGCAGGGCAGGAGAAGAGCTCAAAACTGGGACAAAGGTCGAAAGGACATGATGAGGAAGACGTCTGACTTCATCCCAGAACGACCACCAGAGGGGGAGGAAGACGTCGAGCCTTCATCCAATAGAAGCTACTGCGCATGCACTGGGGAGGGGGAGAGTATGTAAATGAATTCCCAGAAAAGTAATGAATATGTTAGTGGCTCTTGGGTAACACTTCTGAATAT